CCTACCACCACCTGCACCGCTACTACCATCACCTTTACCTAAACTGCCGCCGCTGCTGCCGGATCACTGCTACAGCGACTCCGTCTCAGACCAGACCTCTGAGCACGTAAGGAAAATATCACAACCATAGGAGTTAATAAATACACAAAAAAGTAAAGATATACACGTGAAATGTATGTAAGAAGTTTGTATACTTTTCCTGCCGTCTTATATATTCACGAGACAGAAAAAAAACCACCTGTCCTGCCAGAGTGCAAATTATTTACCATGGACAGTGGTACCTGGGGAGAGGGAGGGGGGATGTTGTATCCTACTAAAGACAGGAAAATAGACAACTTGCCAATTCTGAAACATTTCTGTGATATAAACAATATGCTGCACTAATCTGACAACCCACCTCGTCTTCCAGGCTTCCCACCGTACCCGGAACCTTATCTACCTTCCCCACCACTGAGGCTTTCTCCCCCCATTACCCCCACCCTTTTTACACCCATCTACCTACACCCTCTCCACCTTCTATCTGCTCCCTCCCACTGCACCCTCACCCGCTTGTTGGTAACCTGAGCTGGGTATCTGGCAGGACAGGTTGCTGATAAACGTGTACCTGCCCATGAACAACGCTATTGATGAGCAGCGGTGAACCCACGCTCTGTATTACCTCACTCATACCTCAACACCATGCTAACCCACGCCTGCATCCACAGCTGAAGATTCTTAGATGTTACCACGTGAAACTCGGCTCTGAAGACGGGGTGCCTGGGACTTTCCGGCCAGGCGAGGTAGACTGGCCTGGTCTGGCCGCGACAAAGGTGGTGGTTGTGAGGTACGGCAAGGTGAATACGAGCTTCAGTCTGCTGGTAACTAGAGACTACAAGGACTGGTGGAGGCACCTACCTCATGATACCTGACACATCATCCGCGCTCACCTAACCCTCATATGAGGGTACCTAAAGCATCACCTGAGCCGCATATGATGGTATCTTAATTAAACCACACCTGAGCCGCATATGAGGGTACTTCAAGCCACATCTCAGGTGTTGGATCAGTCCTAAAAAGGAAAATTACGGTAATATTACAAGAGTAAAAACTGTTGAAAAATTGCATAGAGAAGTGAAAAAAAAATGTATACCGTATGTAAGTAGAAGTTTGGAAGATTTATCTGTCATCTTATATGTTTTATGAGACGAAGAAAACACTCATAGTCCAACTTTTGTCCCTTTCCTGTCTTCCCGCTCCCACTTGATGGATATCGCTAATGATAACTACCCTCCTTGCTCGCTAACCTACAAGAAGTGTACAATAATGGTATACAATACCGACAAGATGAAGATTTAGACACATGTGCAACATCTGCGTATCTTTATTAAGATACCCAGATGTTGCACATGTGTCTAAATCTTTAACCTACAAAAAATACATGGATGGGTCGATTGTATGTTCTTAGACTGCATGAAGACATTTGACACTGTACCTCACCAGAGACTGAGTCACATATTAGAGTAGCAAGTTGAGATATAAGGAAAAGTACTTCAGTGGATCAAAGAATTCGTAACGAGCACAAGATAGTTTGTAGCATCACCATGGAGTGTGCAGCACCCCCACGCAGCCCCCACTTGGTCAAGCATGTACGGAAACCCGAAGAGGTACACACTTTTGAAATATGAATAGTCCTAGTACTGAGGAATTGAGTTTTGAAGAGATTATAAATGAACTCAATCTAACAACTCGATCACTCGATCGCTAGCGCACTCAACTCACACTCTGAGATCCGGGGTTCGAAACTCCTCCGGTACGGCTGAAAAACATTAGGGACGTGTTTCTATAAGACACCTGCTGTCCCTGTCCCTGTTCACCCATCAGTTTAAAATGGGTACCTGGGTGTTAGTCGACTGGTGTGGGTCGCATCCTGGTACAAAACTGACCTAATTTGCCCGAAATACTCAGCATAACAAGCTTTCAATAGTAGTGTGTCACTGATGTCAGGTAGACCTGTATATATATGTACATGTACTTGTAGTAAATGAAGATATTATTATATTATTACTATTATAAGGGAAGGCTAGATAATATACTTAGAGGCTTTGACAAAGTAGATTAGGAAAGACTACTTGAAATATACCAGAAATAGTTCCTGGAAACATGCTATCTCAATAGGTACTTACCAGGGAACTAAGGGAACTTCGTGAAAAAAGAAAAAAAAATATTGAACCAACATTTAACAGATCCCACCAGAAATGAAAATACGGGCCGCGGGGGCGTTGACCCCCGGAACTCTCTCCGGGTAAACATTGGATCTTATCTTCACAATCAACAAGGAACTGATCAGAGACATAACAATCACAAAAACAATATACTCTGATCACTGAAGTACAAGCGAGTATAAACTCAGGGGGAGGGGAACCCCAGTAATAATGTATGAGACGGGATGTTCAGTAAATTTAATCTCAGCAATCATAGAACTGACCGGGACAAAATAAACGAAGATCTATCAGACGAATCCTGGGAAACAGTCATGAGTGTCGTAAATCATCACTAGTGCTTGGCCAAGATAAACACACAAGCATACAAACTCTGCATTAAACATGTATAACTCAGAAAACTAAGAACAAATATAGATTCTTCTTCCTCTTCTTCTTCTTCTTTTTCTTCTTCTTCTCCTTCTTCTTCTTCTTCTTCTTCTCATCTTCTTCTTCTTCTTCTTCTTCTTCTTCTTCTTCTTCTTCTTCTTCTTCTTCTTCTTCTTCTTATTATTATTATTATTATTATATTATTATTATTATTTTTATTATTTTTATTATGCTATTATCATGGGGGAGCGCTAAACCCGTAGGGATTATACAGCGCTTATTGGGAGGGGGGGGGTGGAAAGCATTCAGGCTTAATTCAGAGATTTGGAGAAGATCCCATTCCTTAGATCAAGAGCCCCTCACCAGCATAAAGGAGACTCCCTTGAAGGGATGAAACATAGAAAGAGAGAGTATACAGAACACGAAAACATGGATATGTCACAACGAAGGAAAGATTATCGTAGGAGAAAGATCAAGACAGAACTAATACCTCAAGATTGTTTTTTTTTCTGTCATATCAGACAGACAAAATACAGATACAAAGATTATTTACAGCCAGCAAAGAGAATTTAAATTACTGGGAACGCCTCAGAGTTCTAAATATGTACTCGATGGAACGAAGGAGGGAGGGAGAGAGAGAGAGAGAGAGAGAGAGAGAGAGAGAGAGAGAGAGAGAGAGAGAGAGAGAGAGAGAGAGAGAGAGAGAGAGAGAGAGCAATATATACGTGAAAATACTTGAGGGCCTTGTCCCAAATCTGCACACACTGCCGTAACAACATCCTGAAGTGAGAGATATTGAAGGAAATGTAAAATAAACCAAGTGAAAAACAGGGGCACCGTGGGTACAATAAGAGAACACTGTATCAGCGTCCGTGATCCCAAACTATTGAACATCTTACCAGAAGATGTGAGTAGTCACGAAAGCGCTTGGAATTTCACTACTCTCTCATAGTGGTTGTTTTGCATATCTTACCAGAAGATATCAGAAACACTAGTGGAATAAGTGTAGAGGTCTTCAAGAGGAAATTGGATATGTATCTCCACCAAGTGTCAGATCATCCGGGCTGTGGTGGATATGTAGGCCAGCTACCGGGCTACCGGGAACAACAGCCTGGTTGACAAGGCTGACTGGCCTTTACCATCGCCGGGCTCCGGGTGTAGAAAATTCTCGAAATTCATCAAAGATAAAGGTAATGTAAGGTACAAGTGTGAGGGATCATAGATGAAAACTCTAGACACAGACGAGCTACAGGGATGCTAGGTAAAACTTTTTGTTTAGTCTCAGAGTGGTAAATAAGTGGAATGAAGGTAGATGGTAGAGGCAATACACAGTTCCAAGAGTAGGTATGATAGGGGCCGTGAGGTCTGGAACCAATGATGTCGGTGACTGTAGTTCGAGGCGGGGCCAGGAGCTGAGAATCGACCCCCTGCAAATACAATTCTGTATTTGCAGGCCAAGTGTCTATGAACAAGTGCCTATGACAACCGTTAACTCACTAACTAACAAACACACACACACACACACACACACACACACACACACACACACACACACACGCCAGGAGCTAGGACTCGACCCCTTCAACCACAACTAGGTGAGTACACACACACTTAACATCAGACTCCACGATAAGCAACCCATCTAACACACAATGGCCTCGTTTAACATGCAATTAATTGCAGATGAACATACCATTATGACGACCATACAAGCAAGCCAAATCCACTAATAAGAGAGAAAAACTAATGGTGATGGAAAAGCGAGTGGGAATTCTAGTAGGGGATGGTGGCTGGAGTGGGATATGGGGGGGGAAGGGGATGGAGAGGGGAGATAGGCGCTGGAGGTGTGCTCCCCCTCCTGGGTCTGGATATTATCACATGAATGGGCAGGTCCACACCTCCTTACGCCCACCTATTCACCTTTGCTTCTCTTCTTTCTTCAAGAGGTTCGGGAGAAACAGAGAGAGAGAGAGAGATAGAGAGAGAGAGAGATAGAGAGTAGGTTAAGAGGCCAGGAGCCAATAATGCTGACGACTATATTTTAAGAGACGGGGCCAGGAGCTGAGATTCGACCCTGCATGCACAAAACCTGGTAAACACACACACACACACACACACACACACACACACACACACACACACACACACTGGTGTACATACTTGGCAATGACCGCAGCATCAGACAGGCACGAATGAAATATTTCTGGACTAAGATGGCAGCGGACATTGCCAAGTATGTACACCAGTGTGTTGTTTGCCTACAGCACAAGGGTACAGTTACAGATCCTAACCCCATTCTAAAGTATCCCATTACAAAGGAGCCCTGGAAGAGAACTTCTGTTGACCTGTTGACGAACTTCTCTACCTCGGAGAAGGGAAATAAGCACCTGCTTGTCATGGTAGATAACTTAACGCGGTACAGTGAATTAGTACCCATTTCTGACAAAACTGCCGAGACTGTTGCTAATACTTTCCGTGAGCATGTCGTTCTCCGTCATGCCTGCCCACGTGTCCTTCTGTCAGACAATGGGTCTGAGTTCATAAACGCCATAATGCAGGATCTTTGCTCCAGATTTAACATTCACCAAGCGCCAGTTGTTCCACGCCACCCTGCAAGTAATGGTCTTGCTGAACGTACAAATCGCAAAGTCCTGGAGGTGCTCAGGGTAACCGTTAACCCAAGTTGTACTACATGGGATGAGGCTATCCCAGATGTTCAGTGTACATTAAACTCCTCCCTCAACAGCTCGATCGGTGAGACAACTCATTTCGCTTTGTATGGCTATGACAAGCGCTTACCGCACGAAATTCTGTTTGCTCCGCCTCGACCTACTTACGACACTGATAACCCCAGTGCAGTGAAGATGCGGACCACACAGCTTGTTTTCCAGTGGATACGAGAGAACCTTATGAAAGCTACTGATAGGTTCACATCTGATCGCAATGCCCTTGCCAAGGAAAGCAAAGTGGAACCAGGTTGCAAAGTTATGTTGCTTAACCCGGTGCAGACCCCAGGTATGCATAAACTTGTTCCCAAATTCGTTGATCCTTACCGTGTCCTCCGGCAGCTCCGTGGCAATAAGTTTGAGGTGAGGGAGATTGCTACTGGAACTATCAAAGAAGCCCATCTTGATCACATGAAGTATGTGGACCATGTGCAAGCCGAAGCAGAGCTGGAGTCGCGTGCGTTGCGAAGCCACAATCAGACTCATGCTATAGACAACCCGTCTACTTCTTCATCCACTACTACTGTTACTGATGACAGCCCAGTAAGGCTCCATACTTATGGCCTGCGACCCAGGACAACAGTACATTTCTGTGACATTGACGTACCTACTGACTTGTCCGACTCCTACGCTAGCTGTGCTAATTGTTTGCTTGCAGAAATGGTTATAAATGCACACACATTGTTTAGTAGTTAATAACGGAGTCAGGGTGGACAACATTATGTAAATATGTAAATTATTTTAGAAGGGTACGCGTAGTATAACGAATTCCATGGAAATGGTGTTATTGTAAGTATGTGCACCCAGTGTGTCTTTTAAATCCTATATTAAGGTCAGGACAGTGCCGCCCTTTGAGTCATATGTCACACCTTAGAAAATGCTACCGTCAGTCATTGTTTGCAGATGTGAGGATTCAACAGCATTCAGGGACGAGTAGTGAAGCCTGATGATTAGCCCTGCGGACAACCTGACAAAACCATATATAGAAGATTTTAGTTCCAGTGCTGAGGTCTGGCTCTGTCCTCGATGGAGCTGCGTGAGCAAGCCAGTTTTCTCTTCCTCCAGGAAGGGAGAGTTTTTTTTTTTTTTTTGCCTATTGCATTTTATGTCCATTTTTTATTTACAAGTGAGCGAAAGCCAGTCCCTCCCTGGGGTAGTTAGTGTAAGTAGCTCCTTCCCACCTACGGGTCCACCAGTATTGACGCATCGGGACGACGCGAGGTGCGTGGCCGAGCAAATGTAGACAGCCATTTCTGTCTGCTAGTTTCATATTCTGCGGCACTCAGGTGCTGCCCTCTCTAGGCCTGCCCAGGCCAGTGGGACGCTGGACCCACTCACTCGCTCAGCGGCCTAGACTCAGACAACAGGTCCTACTCCTCTCTCCCTCGTGGGCATGGTCCTCCCGGGCCATGGGCACTTAACACACTGCCTGTGTACCCCAAAGACATTGCAAATAAAGTAAGAAGCCTCCGAAGATCTTATCATTGAACCCCGCTCTGCAAACACTACCACCAAATAATCCCGTAAACAACAGGAGGTGGAACAGTCCGGAGAGAGAAGTAGTAGATGATGTATCCATACATAGTTTTAAGAACTTTTGCTGCACTTATAAATTCCATCAAACACCTTAACTACTGGGAGCGCCTGGAAGCACTTGACTTGTACTCACTGGAGTGCAGGCGAGAGAGATATATCATAATCTACACCTGGAAGATTCTGGATGGACTGGTCCTTAACCTACATACAGAAGTCACTCCCTACGAAAGCAAAAGACTTGACAGGCGATGCAACATACCCCACTGGTACACTAAGAAAAAACACAGTAAGTGTCTGGAGCCCAAGACTGTTCATCAGCCTCCCACCAGCCATAAGGGGAATTAACAATAGATGCCTGGTTGTCTTCAAGAGGGAGCTGGACAGCTACCTAAAGTCAGTGCCAGATCAGCCGGGCTATGGTTCGTACGTGATTGGACTACTTGTGGCCAGCAATAACAGCCTCGTTGATCAGGCCCTGATCCACCAGAAGGCCTGGTCATGGACCGGGCCGCGGGGGCGTTGATCCCAGGAATGCCCTCCAGGTAGACTCCAGGTAGGTACTCTCTACTGGCTCTTGGAGCCAGTAGAGAATGGACCTAGTAGCGACTAGCGAAGAGCAGGGGCAAGGAGCTGTAACTTAACCCCTACAACCAAATAGGTAAGATATAGGTGAGTACATAAAGAGAGAGAGGGTCATACATGGCCGTACTTCTCTTCCCCCTGATTACTAACTACCCTGAACGATAATCCCAACAATCCCCTGAAACAACTAGAATGTGTCTGTATAAGGAGAGGAAGGGAGAGACCACCATTAAGTGGAGAACACAGCAGGAGGGCTTTTTAATGTGTGTGTGTGTGTGTATGCGTGTGTGTACTCACCTAGTTGTGGTTGCGGAGATAGATTCACAGCTCCTGGCCATGCCTCTTCGCCTGGTCGCTACCCGGTCACTCTTCCCGCTCCGTGAGCATTATCATACCTCTTCTTAAAGCTATGTATGGATCCTTCCTCCACTACATCACTACCCAGGCTATTCCACTTACTGAGAACTCTGTGACTGAAGAAGTACTTCCTAACATCCCTGTGGTTCATCTGAATCTTCAACTTCCAACTTTGACCCCTTGTTGCTGTGTCCCATCTCTGGAACATCCTGTGTGTGTGTGTGTGTGTGTGTACGTGTGTATACTCACCTATTTGTGGCTGTAGGGGTCGAGTCATAGCTCCTGGCCCCGCCTCTTCACTGAATGCTACTGGGTCCTCTCTCTCCCTGCTCCGTGAGCTTTATCAAACCTCAAAACTGAGTGGTTTTGTATACACAAAACAAACTGTTTTCTCTGGATTGCTTTATTACAAAAAATGTTAAACTATATTTCCTGCAATTCAACTCATTGTCCGAATGAATTTATCCTAATTACGTAATTTCGCTTCGTGCTAGTGTTTTAGGCAACACAGAACCTGAATATGTTCGGGCAGTGGGTTGAATTGCTTGAAATATAGCGTCCGTTGACTTTGTCAAGTGAAGTGCCAGTGAGTTTGATATTCACCCAGTGTTTGATAGACTGATTTTAAAAACAAATTGAAATTTGGGAAAGCAGTGCAGTTTACCTGATAACACGTCATGGACTGGGCCGCGGGGGCGTTCAGAGGTATGTATACATGTATGTATACATACATGATTCTTAAGCAGCACCAACCCAACAACACAGGAGTCGTGTACGAATGGTATACAATACCGACAAGATGAGATTAAGACACATGTGCAACATCTGGGTATCTTTATTGTAGACGTTTCGCCATCCAGTGGCTTTATCAATACAAATTCTAGGACATAACTTGAAGACAGTAGAACTATGTACAGAAGATGAGGTAATCAGTACCTCAACCTAGGAGTAGGTGCGAAGAGCACCATAGTCGTGGAGATTCTGAAGCAGAAGAAAGGATCCTGGCGCTTATATAGTAACGTCAGGTGTAGTAGACGAGGGCATATTCACTGGCAGGCGGGATTCCCCAGTGGAAGTAGGTCCTTCCCAAAGAGATGGGTTAGTTGTAGTAGTAGTTGTCGTAGTCGTGAAGGTTATGTACATGTCCTCAGAATTAAGATTCCATCATGGAATCTTAATTCTGATGATGTGAAGCTGATGAGAAGAATTAAATCGGATGAGGATCAGGCAGGACTGCAAAGAGACCTGGACAGGCTGGACATGTGGTCCAGAAACTGGCTTCTCGAATTCAACCCTGCCAAATGCAAAGTCATGAAGATTGGGGAGGGGCAAAGAAGACCGCAGACAGAGTATTGGCTAGGTGGACAAAGACTACAGACCTCACTCAGGGAGAAAGACCTTGGGGTGACCATAATACCGAGCACGTCACCGGAGGCACACATCAACCAAATAACTGCTGCAGCATACGGGCGCCTGGCAAACCTGAGAATAGCGTTCCGATACCTTAATAAGGAATCGTTCAAGACACTGTACACTGTGTATGTTAGGCCCATACTGGAGTATGCAGCACCAGTCTGGAACCCACACCTGGTCAAGCACGTCAAGAAGTTAGAGAAAGTACAAAGGTTTGCAACAAGGCTAGTCCCAGAGCTCAGGGGAATGTCGTACGAGGAAAGGTTGAGGGAAATCGGACTGACGACACTGGAGGACAGAAGGGTCAGGGGAGACATGCCAACGACATACAAGATACCGCGGGGAATAGACAAGGTGGACAGAGATAGGATGTTCCAGAGAGGGGACACAGAAACAAGAGGTCACAATTGGAAGCTGAAGACTCAGACGAGTCACAGGGACGTTAGGAAGTATTTCTTCAGTCATAGAGTCGTCAGGAAGTGGAATAGCCTAGCAAGTGAAGTAGTGGAGGCAGGAACCATACATAGTTTTAAGAAGAGGTATGACAAAGCTCAGGAAGCAGAGAGGGAGAGGACCTAGTAGCGATCAGTGAAGAGGCGGGGCCAGGAGCTGAGTCTCGACCCCTGCAACCACAATTAGGTGAGTACACGCACACACACACACACACACACACACACACACACACACACACACACACACACACACACACACACACACACACACTATTACGGAGTACTGTATTAAAATATTTATATATAAAATAACGCTCCATATATAATGTCATTTTCCGTGTAATATACTGAAAGCGGACGTGTATTATTCCCTGAAAGTGAACGTGTTTTATTCCTGTCAGTCAGGCAGTGGCCAGGACAGGAGATGAGAGG